TATTTATGCATGGCTTTCGTCGCCCAATCATGACGGTATATCTTTATTTCAAAGTGCATATGTAAGAACTGAAACAGACGCTCTAAAAATACAGACATGTTGTACACAAGTATTCTTGGTTTGCCACACAAACACACACAAATTGTAGTGAACAAAAGAAAAGTTGAATATTGTTTTTTGTACTGAAAATGGGAAAACGCTGGACTTTTTACTTTATTTTATCCAGAAAGGATCTAGTTGACACTTAGACGTAAGGATTGTGCAACTCACATCCATTATTATTGAAACTGGCATTTTGTACCATACGCACGAATCCTTCCTTTAAAAAAAAAATTGGCAAAACAAAAAGCATCCTTCCAAGTCATCTTTATTTAAAAGACTAGGACTTGCACTTCATATCTACAAAGAAAATGAGAAGGAGAAAAAAAATGCTGTGAAATTGGAGCTAGGCAAAATAAAAAAAAGGGGTGGGGGGGTGTCCAATCAAGCTGTGATTGAGGCTCTGGTCTGAGAGGCAGCAGAGGTCAGCCAAGTACCTCTTGTCTTAAGAGAAATGTAAAGAGCTTATCCATAAGTAGCTGAAATTATATCCTTCTTTGTTGCACTCTGCAACTTTTCCCAAATTCACAAACTAAAATAAAAATATGCTTTTCTCATCATTTTTTTTTTTTGTCTTACATTTACCTTTTACTGGTGGACACTTTGGAGAAGCCATAATGTTTGTTACCACTGCTGTTCAGCTCCTGCACTCCTTCACTTCTTGACACTTGTACAAGATGACACAGGAACTCTACCCATGCAAGCTGATTCCACTTACTCTCCCTGTAACACTTTCTGGAAATGTAGCTCAGCTCAACATCCTGTGAACTGCTGAAGTTGTAGTTTTCTAATTCAGACAATGGATCTGTATTTTGATTCCAGTTTCATTTGCTGCTTATTTACCTTGTTTGATTTTATTGAATTTTTTTAGCAACCTTCTTAATTTTGCTCCCATTAGAGTTTTATATGGTTTTGTGAATGCAGTGAGACATGGTAAACTATTTTCAGTCAATTATCTGTTTCTACTAGCCTATCACTCAGCTTGATGGATTCCTCTTTCTGACCAGTTTGAGCAAAGGGTCAACCATGTACTCCCAGTGTCTGCCATAGAACAAAGATGCTAACAGGGGCCTGACAGAAGATGTCCCTCCTCCGCTTACTCTGCTTAATTCATTACTGTCTAAACAAGGCCTCCAAGTACTGAGACCAGACCAGACGCTCAGATGCTGCTCTTATTTATCCAAGTTAGGCATCAAAGACACATTTCAACTTAAAAGTGGTTCTATAACTTTTCTTCTTAAAACTATTAAGTTTTATATTTAAGTCTATCTATTTAAGTTTCTATTAAGTAAACTATTAAGAACTTTTAACTTTGATTCTGATAAGTTTCTATGAAAAACTCTTCCATCAGTTACAACAAGTAAAGGACACATCTCCATCTGTCTTGATCTAGCAATGTACTTGTGGATGCAGTCACACAGGTATAGGTTAATCTAGTGCATTTAAAGAACAAAAACAAGTTTGTGAGACTTCTACAAGGTAATGGTGGTTGTCTTTCAGACAGGGAGCATATCACCACTTGCAACACAAGACACACAAAGCCAGCTAGTTTGGTGAGTCCATGTCTGGTTTTACAAATGACAGCAAAAGAAACTTGAAACGCCCAACGCTCAGCAGACTTGTTAATACAGTGAATGAGAGTTTGCATTAATATGGCAGAAATTTTCAAAGCAAATTACTACTGCTCAGTGAGATTTCTTTAATGTTTCCTAATTTACTTAATGTTTTCTTTAAGATGACTTCATGACTTGGATGTTGTTTTGTGCAGTCAGAGCAAACACGGTGAATATACAGGTAGAGACGTTTTGGTGTGTACTGCTATTTTACTAGCCAAAAAACAGCAGGGAGGAAATGTAAATCCAGAACAAGGGAGAGAAAAAAAAAGAATGATGCAAATATATTTTTACAAAGTTTTGGTACTTTTTATAACTAAATGTAGGGTAGGATGTAAGAAATATTTTGCAGTGGGAAAACATCTTTAACTGGGCTTCCAAGCAAAACTTAAGCATAGTAAAACAATTTGGTGCGTAAAGCAAGTCAATATTAGTGTAGCAGTACACACAAGTGGGGGTATGGGTTTAAGTTTCATTTTGTTATTTTTAAAAGCTTGTTAAAATTATACCAAGCTGTTTAATAAATAGACATGTAAGAGTGCTCTGCCATATTTTTATGCAAAATTTATCACTACCATTTGTACAATGTCACATATATTGTGCTGCTTTTAAAGAATACTGCGGGTCAGTGGGAAGCACAGAAGACTGGGTATAGTTATACTCAATCACTACAAAAAAATGATATACAGTAGTCCCTCGCTACTTCGCTTTTCAACTTTTGCGGACTCGCTCTTTTGCGGTTTTTCAAAATAAGACTGGACCTGACACACAATTGGCTGATTGATGGATGAGCTGCAAGATCGGCATGCAATTTTTATTTAAAATACATTATTTTAAATTATTTAGCATCTGCTGCACCTGTGTGCAGCCTACATATGCAGGGAGAAGCTCCCTCCTGCAGCATGTCATGATTTCCGCTCTGTAGTGGAGAAGTGGGCATGGCCGAGTGCACTGGCAGGTGGCAGAGAGCAGTTGGTGGAAGACAGAGTGTAGATCATGACATGCTGTGCTCTTTTAGAGCGTTTAGAGTTTAGAAACATTGTTTAGAAACATTGCAAGAGTGTGAAAAGGGTTTAAAATGCCTTTATATATCCATTCATCCATCCATTTTCTTTACCCGCTTGTTCCATTTTGGGTCACGGGGGTCGCCGGTGCCCATGTCCAGCAATCACTGTGCGAGGGGCGGGGTACACCCTGGATGGGTCGCAAGTCCATCACAGGGCCACATAGTGACAAACAAGACAAACAACCATTCACTCTCTCACTCACACCTAGGGACAATTTAGAGTTACCAATCAGCCTAACATGCACGTTTTTGGACTGTGGGAGGAAACCAGAGCACCCGGAGAAAACCCACGCATGCACGGAGAGAACATGCAAACTCCACCCAGAAAGGTCCCTGGACCGGGGTTTGAACCAGGGACCTGCTCGCTGAGAGGCAGCAGCTCTACCAGTTGCGCCACCGTGCTGCCCCAGTCCAACAATCAATGATTGGAAATATACAAAAGTACTAGGAGCACCGTATTTGTGCAGGTGTGTTTAAAGTTCTTTTTTTATAATTTCTTGTTGATTCTTCTTTTCTGCAAAACTATGGAAGAATTTGTAGTCAAAGAGAGCACAACGTCAATGATTTTGAAATTATTTGCTTTTAAAGCAAGGAGCGACCCAGCCATGATTGTAATAGGAGATCCCAAGTGATCGGTCAGCCCTCGCTGTACATGTTATGGATGACTCACAGCTACTACCACACCAAAGTTCAGCTCACTACCTGTAAATTTTAATGAGTTTTAGCAGTTTTTGTGTTTTCTAAAATCAGCTGACTTTGGCAGCCATATCTAATTGGCTCCAATTGAATTGTTCATGTGCGAGGTACAACTGTATTAACAGTAATAGAACTAGCATTAGCAGTATTATCATTAACAGTAACAGAACTAGCATTAACAATATTTGCATTACCTTGGTAGAAGTAACATTAGCAATCTTAGCATTAACAGTAGTTGAACTAGCATTAGCAATATTAGCATTAACATCAGTAGAATTAGCATTAGCAGCAGTAATTGTTGTTTTATTTTGTAGCTGTTTTTGATTTGTTTTATATAATTTCTTCTATTTACTTTCCATTTTATATGATTGTTTATTATCATCTATACCTCATCTGTGTTCTTTATTTAAAACAGGTCTCTCTTGTAAATGAGTCTTTGAGGTTTATTGAGACTAACCTGTATAAATAAAGGTTGAATGAATGAATGTAATGGCATCTATTCATTTTAAGAGGTGTTGCCAAAACACTTGTTACTTGTCAACATATCTCTATGATAAGTCAGTCTGAAGGGTCTAACAGACTGTGTGAAAGAAGCACAAGGTGACCTGAGCTTCACTGCCTCATAGCCAGCTTAATGAGTTAGGCCACTGCCACATCTACTTGGATCCATTAATGGAGGATCAACCAAGGCAGAGCTCACCTGCTGACACTTTAAGGCCTTTACTCCTAAGAGGGCAGGGAATTAGTAAAGGATTTCTCAACCTGTGTGGTGTGAGTTACAGGATAATTTTAGAGTTGATCATTGACGTTGCACCCTCATTCTGCAGAAAACAAACAACAGACTAAGCAAACATTTTGACACATTAAACTCATGCAGGAACGCATGCAACACAAGTTATTTTCAGTGGTCTCAGGAGTTCCAATGTATATGACCAGTCAAGTTATGCCACTGACCTAACATCATCGTTTTCAATAGATTTTGAGAAAAAGTACAAAGTAGGAGCCCTCTCCTACTCTAAAGCAGGAAATGAGTCTTAGGAAAAGGAAGCCATGATGTGTTCGCTTTTACACTATGAATGAGGAGCCCAAAGACAAAGCACGCTTAAACATTTTCAACATTCTCTAACAGATTGAGTTGTGTGCAAATATCATGAGTAATCTCTCATTTATTTTATTTTAGTTTTTGCTGCCAAGGTGCCAGACTTTGTTATAAGCTTCCAAAAATATCTTGAACAATAATCCTTCCTTTTGAATATCTTATGTAGTTATATGATTTTGCACGCATTTTATGCTTCAGTTCTTGAAATTTCATGAAAGTTCATTGTCAGCTATTTTAGTTTGTCTCTTTAACAAAATGTAATCACAGGATTGATTTAGAAATGCAAAATTGCAAATGAGCCTTCACTTTTAAAGTGTAAACTGAAGTGATGGATATAACATTTAGTGAAAGATCTATACCATGAGGCATGAAAATGAAGGGGCCTCTGTTGCTTAATGTGCTGTTAATCCCTGCAGGGCATGCCTACCTCGTTTCTGCATGAAGGTAAAAAGATCATCCAAAAATTCTTTCCTTTTGGGGTCATTGTCCAACTCGTACAGCTGCAAGAAAACACAGGAACATATTAGAATGTAAAAGTTTGGTTCTGATTATATAGTCATTTCTGTGTGTTTTAATTTCTGACTAGAAACAGAACTAACTGCTATGTTTAGTGAACTGTGTCATTATTCATACAAATTGTCTTTATGTTTCCTTTTTAACATTAAGATTGTGAGCAAAAGTAAGGAAAAACCAATCAATAAAATATCCTGATTCATGCTCAACAATCCAGGTAGAAAAATCTAACAAATATAAATCAGGTCCTCTGGACCAGGGGTGTCAAACTCACTTACAAAAGGGGGCCAAAATTAAAACCTTTTTCAAACTAAGGGTCAATTTCAGAAACTACATTAACTCAAATTAGATACCCAACATCTTTTCTTGGTCACAGGTTCCTCAACAAGAGTTTGATTGGTCTCATTTGATGTTCTTTGTTGTGCTTTCAACATCATAATCAAAGATTATTGAAAAAAAATTAAAGTGATAGAAGTATTTTACGTTTCACATTTCATCTTGGGGGCCAGAAAAGATGTCAATGAGGGCCACATTTGGCCCACAGGCCTTGAGTTTGACCCATATGCTCTGGACGGTTTCTTTTTGTGGAAACATTTCGTCTTTCATCCAAACGATTTCATCAGTCTGAGGAGCTGACACAAACTCAGTCTTATAAATAAGATTACAAATAATAAATTATATCAATTATTATGCATGAGAAGGTGCTATTTATAAGACTGAGCTTGTTTCAGCTCTTCAGACTGATGAAGTCTTTTGAATGAAAAACAAAACGTTTCAACAAAAACAAACCATCCACAGGACCTGACTTAACTTTGTTACAACCAACTAAATATTAATAAGGATTATAATAATACCGTAATAAAGGAATATATATATATTCTAGTATTTTGAACCGCATGAAAATGAGTGTAATATTGGAGCAGATGGTGCAAACAGTCTTATCTTAATCCTTTTTTTTTTCATCTAAACACAGATTATAAATTTTAAGAGCTCACCTTTGCAAAGTCTCTGGAGGCTTCTCCTCTTCCTCTGCTACTGTCAGCCTCATCTGCCCACCCAGAACTGCCGTTCTACACAAAAACGAAACATAAATAACGTCAGAAAGCAGTAACAGGCAGCAGATTCTTTTTGTATAAAAGTAGAGAAAAAAATCGCAGATGACAAACACAAAAAATAAAACCAACATCGGTTAAAATGTTGCACATAAAAAAATACAAAAGTTCTTATTCCACCAATAGAAGCGTATTTGTTGTTTTAAGAACAAATGTTGAAAAATGCATTTAAATAAGACATTCATGTATTTATTCATTGATTTGATTTTTGGCAATAAAGATTCCATTGAGTATGATGAAGATTAAAGAGTCTGTACTGGTTTGAAATAAATGAGCAAACTGTAAAGCAGAGAAACCAATTAAAATCCTGCAAAATATTAAAAATAAATAATAATAATGACTTCTCAAACTTCATGAAAGCGTTTAGCCAGGAGCTGGAAGAGTAACTTCTGGAATTATTGTGCCCCTGATCTTGTAAATCCCCTCCCCCTTCATCCTCAAACATCTCCATTTGACCTAAACCATCTGCATCTGGGCCTGCCCTGCCCCCACCCATGTCTTCCGACCCAGCTGGATACACGGGCCCCCCATCCTTCAATCTTAGCGCAGCTGTGACGGGTGGCCAAGTTCATGGAGTGTAGGTGGCTGTCAGGAGGGGCCAGAGAAGGGCAGGCTGGTCAGTTGCTGTGGTGAGCATCTGTATGAGCATGCACACACATACACACAAATATGTGCAAAGGCTAATCAAAATGTGTGCATGTTTGTGAGTGTAGGAGGGGGGGTCAATGGCCCCACAAGACGGGAAGGAAGGAAAATAAGGGCAGAAAGGAGTGCATGGTATGTGCCGACCAGGAATGTCTCTTAAAGACAAAACCTATAAAAGCATCAGGAATCAAAACAAGATCCTTTTGGAGAGAGACGTTAATAGCTGCAGCACAGGGTCTAGTTTCAACCAGGAGCCCATTGGTCAGTGACAATTACAGGGCCTGAAATGAGAACCAGGAGGGCAAAGGTTGTCAAGGCCTCTGAGAGAGTCCTTTTCACCCTCTCACTCTCATGTGTGTAACTGCTGTCAACATTCATGCTTCCTAAACAAATACTCATCTGCCATCAACCTGCAAACCCACTGCAAATGGTGTTTCAGGGGTACTCGCTAAATGCATGAGATCTTCTGAAACAAAATGAGAATACTGGTGTTGAACACTTAAATTACCAACTTTATAATGGCAGAAATACAATGACTAATGTCAATATTGACACGTTTAGAAATTGTCAGGAAATCACGTGGATTTGTTAAATTTACAACATGAAAAAAAATGTACAAACACTTTGTCCTAGCAAAAACATGATTTGCTATCATATTACTATACAGTATTTACGACATGTGATAAAGGTTACATCAGATAAATCATGTGAACATAAACATACGTACTAGAGCATTTGGAGGCCTTTAGACCTTTATACACAACTTGACCACGCCTGTTACACTTTAACCATTATAAATGATTATGGCTTTACATTTTATATGTATAGTCCCAGATGTTCACTCACCCTTGTGAGAAAACTAACAAAAAAAGAAGCATTTTTTCTACTCTATTGCCTTGAGATCAACAGTATGCCATATGATAATAACCAAACAAAAACCCTTTAACTTATATAGAAATAACTATTCTGACAATAAGTCAGTGCACTGTGCTTGTTTTCACTAACAAGTCAATAACTGTGTGTAGATGTCATGGTTTTGTTTCAGAATTACTTAATTTAATTCCTACTAAAGCAACCAAATTGAGGATCTCACATGTGACCCTCAAATACATTAATATACAGAGGAGTTTACAATTAATTTGATGACTGCAAGGCAATCTGGTACTGTTGCTGCAAAACAAGCAAAAACCATTAATCCTCCACCACCATGCATAATATTTGTAATAAGATGTTGGTTGCTGGGTTGGATTCTTAAGCATTAAGATTTATAGTTGTACATCTACACTTCGGTCTTGAGGTTTGATCAGATGCAACTTTGTAAACCTAAGTTAAGCTGCTATTTTTTGTTTTGAGAGGAAAACATCCTCCTGGCATATCCTAATAAGCCAATAAGTTCAGTCTTCCAATTGGAGCGTCATCAACTTCCATATTTATATTTAGAGAGAAATTGCTGTGAAGTCAACTTCAGGGAAGATTGGAAACTGTCCTAAATGTTTTCCACTTGCAAACAATCTTTCTCACGGTAGAATGATAAACCCCACCGTGTTTAGAAATGGCTGATGGGCAGTCATAGTGGCTTCTCTTAGCTCCCTGCTGATAGCTTTGTTTTTGAACATTATGATAATACACACATGAATGTAAGCCAGCAAACAGACAAATCTGCATTTATAAAGGGCCTCACGCTTACTGATGACAATTTAATTTATTTTGATTAGCATCACCTGGCAGCTACTTATCTTAATTTCTACAAAATCAGTTAAGTAGACTTAGATTTTAACATGATAAAGTACTTCTAAAATTTGGCTTAGATTTTAGTAAAGAAGAGTGCATGCAAAGGACTCATTTCAAACAAACATTATACATTTAAACTGCATACAGCATCCCAGCATCTGACTGTACACCAGTATCTGAAGTAACTACAAAAGTGCAGTGAGTAGCCGCAGGTTCACTGGACTTGCAAATGTTAGGTGAACAGAAATGTGTTGATATACAAACCACATGCACATCTTAGCGCACATACACACTAACAATTTCCTGAGGGGCACTCTGTTATGGGTGAGCAGAGGTCAAGGTATTCTGACATCGACAAAAAACAGAGGTCTAAAGTCATCACGCACTACCATCCAGAAAAGATCAAACTTTGAATTTCTGCTCCAGTAACTCTTCTGCTCTAATGTCATTTTCCTGAAGCATCTGAGAAAATAACATCTAATACAACAATGGATCATATTACTACAATCCTAAATCAGTAAGATTCAAAATAATATCACATTCCTCAGAAAAATACTGAAAATGTTACTTTCACCGTCACTTATTATTCATGTTCTGGAACAAAATTCCATGTTTACATTTTACGTGCATGTAACTACATCTTTAATATTCATGTTGAATTATTTGATACTAGTGAAATAAAGGCAAATACATATCCAATGATTAAATGAGTGTGACATATGACTCTACTATAGCAAATGTTATGTGGTCAATTTAAGACCAGCAATGTTGTCAAAACACTTGTAAAAGCATTCTTATGTTACTGCATACATTAGTTTGGTGGCTGGTGATTACACACTTGTCATGTTCCATAAGTAAAATAAAACATTAAGATGCAACGGCCATTGTTTCAGTGTGACATACAAACAGTAAATAGCAACTCTGAGGTCTTTCTAACATTGCCAGGCAGGTTGTCATCTACATCACTCTGCTCAGCAAACAGCCTACTGATTCTACTGGTTTACAGTCCATTGAACTATCACTTCACTTTTTCAAAGATAACCTGCATTTATACTCTCTTGTGAGAAGCCAATCTTGAGTTTCTGGTGAAAATTACATAAGACATCAGCAGGTGGTATCACAAAAGTTGACAAATGAAACGTTTCAATAAAAATTGGCGTAGAGGTCAACGGAAACACTTGCGCTTATTTTGGCTGTTCCCTCTTCAGAGGTCGCCACCACGAGTCATCCTCCTCCATCTCACTCTGTCCTCTGAATCCTCTGTCCTCACTCCAACTACCTCTATGTCCTCTCTAACTGCATCCATATATCTCCTTTTTGGTCTCCCCTTTTGTCGTTTTCCTTACAGCTGCATTTCTACCTGGATTATTGAGCATGGACTTTTTCGGTTTCTAACAACCTTCCACCGAACTCCTGTAAATATAAACCCTTTGAATAAAACGGCCATTTTAGGGGAGAAATCTGTCAGTCTGTCTACAAAAACATTTGTATATAGTGTGGTATACTTATTAAATTAAGATTTTCTTGAGATTTTTTGCCTTCTTTATTGTAAAGGTTGGGGACAAGCAAAAATTGTGGTGGACAACCAGATTTCAGTGTTTCCACTAGATCAGTTCCCTTGGCGGAGCAGGGCACTCGTCACATTTGTTGACGGGAAGATGGAGTCACGTTAATACGTTTGTATTGCGCTTTGCGTTATATCAATACCAACAGTTGTTGATGGGGGGGGGGGGGGGGGGGGTTGGTAAGCAGGGCGCTCGGTTCTGTTAACGGGGTGGAGCGCCCCGCTTGTATAATGATAAGGGACACACTGAGATCCTGTCAAGAGGTTGTCCGCTGGACATGTCCAAATAATCTCAATCCTCTCTCAGTAAAGTCAACTGAGACACTACGGTTATTAAGAAAATCTCCATTCAACTCAAAGCACAAAATTATTGGCAGACACAAGACGCTATAAATTTTTTGACATTGATTTATCAAAAACTTTGTAGCTGAATTTGAAGAATCAAACAGAGATAACAATAAAACTATATCGTTTTCATGTGAAGTGTTACCAGACTATTTCAGTAAATGTTAATTCTGTGGTTTTAGTGTTGAATCAGTAAAATGAAGGTTGCAAAAGTCCAAGGGGAAAAAGCAGAATCAGTCATTGCCAACAAAGCAACAGATAATAAGAGTATACAGTGTGAGTATACAGTGTGCATGTGTGTGTACATCTTGAACAATTGGACAGATTTAAACAAAACCTTGAAAGCTGACTAACATTTGGAGCTGACATTTTTCAAGGTGGCTGCCACAGCTTATCAACCATTGCAAACACATAAACTGTTATTACATATATTAATTTTAAACTGGTGTGGTAGTTGCTGAGAGTTATCATCAACGCACATTAGTAGCACTAATAGAATTGCATAACATCTTGGTTGAAGACTTATGCACGCAAGGAGGCAGGCAATATGTACTTCATCAAAGAATGCTATGGTTTTTTTTAGAATTTTAGTGTCCATTGACCTCTTCTGATTAGTGTACACTGAATGTGAAAAAATAACAACAATGGAAACTCAGCTAATCAGATTTATTGA